CCAGGGTAGCCACAGTTTTTTTTTTTTTTTTTTTTTTTTTTTTTGGTTTTTCGAAACAGGGTTTCTCTGTGGCTTTGGAGCCTGTCCTGGAGCTAGCTCGGTAGACCAGGCTGGTCTCGATCTCACAGAGATCCGCCTGCCTCTGCACAGATTCATTTTGTAGCTAAGACTGAACTTGGACTTCTGATCCTCCTGCCGCTACCTCTCTAGTGCTGGGGTTACAAGTGTGCACACCATGCCTTGTTCAAGGTTCCCTGCCTGCTGGCCATGCATTCTGTCAACAGTAATGTCCCAGATCAAGAGAGAAATATATCGTAGGCTGGTCTCAAGTTAGTAATCCTCCTGCCTCTTCTTCAGCATTTGCCTAACTGGCACTAGTTATTTCTTCTTTTTTTTTTTTTTTAAATGAAAAAGTTTCTTAGAGGGCTGGAGAGATGCCTGCATGTATGCTGCAGGCCAGAAGAGGGCACCAGATCTCACTACAGATGGCAGTGAGCCACCATGTGGGTGCTGGGAATTGAACTCAGGTCCTCCAGAAGAGCAGCCAGTGCTCTTAACCACTGAGCCATCTCTCCAGCCCCCACCATTTTTAATTTTTAAAATTTTATGTTTATGACTGTTTTGTCTAAGTCTATGTGTGTGTGTTGGCACATACTCCTACAGATAATTAAAAATAGTACATATAAGCCTTAAAAAAATAAAAAAGTTGGAGGTGCTGATGGCTGACAATGCATGGAGAAGTCTTCCTCCCTTTCCAGAAAGGCCAGCAAGAGGTGGGTGTGGTGCTGCAGCCTTGAATTCGGCACTGAAGGCAGAAGCAGGCAGAGCACTCGAGTGGGAGGCCAGCCAAGGCTACAAAGAGCTTCAGAAAGCAACCAAACAACAGAAACCCAAGATGGACGTGACTCACGTCATTTCACTCAAGCATCACGAGGCGAGACTAAGCCCTTTCCTCTATTACTGCCTGAGCACTGGGCGGTGGACCTAAGGACAAGCCCTTTCATGTCCTGATGCAGGTGACACAGACACCAGAGTCTATGCTGGGCTAGAACTGCCACTTACACCCTGCGTGTCACTCACTGAGGATGGGAACACAACCAAAAAGTTGATTTATTTGTTGATATATGGTCTCACCGTGTAGCCTTCGCTGGCCTGGAACTCACTGTGTAGACCAGGCTGGCTTCAAACTCAGAGATCCGCCTGCTGTTGCTTCCCAAGTGGTGGGATTACAGGTGTGTGCCATGGATGTGGCATCTGGCTCACAATGACATCAGTGTGTACTGTCGTGTCAACAGGAAGCACAGGCTGTACCTTCAGATACCCGCTGTACTCGCTGGCCCACAGTGACATCAGTGTGTACTGTCGTGTAAACAGGAAGCACAGGCTGTACCTTCAGATACTCGCTGTACTCGTCCTCGAACTTCCTGCCCCAGATACTGCTGCCTCCCCGTCCGGTGCCTGGGTAACAAGACAAGCCAATCAGCAGGAGCGTCTCACTAGACTTCAGTGGGCTCCATTTCCTCCCCATCCGGTGCCTGGGTAACAAGACAAGCCAATCAGCAGGAGCGTCTCACTAGACTTCAGTGGGCTCCATTTCTGAGCAGGAGGGCAGCTTTGCACCATGCTTGTTTGTTTATATGGTGGGGGGGGGGGAGTCCAACCCAGGGTAACGCACAAGCTGGGCAAGTACAAACCAGAGTCACATCTCCAGCCCTAGCAGAACTCTGTGTGTGTGTGTGTGTGTGTGTGTGTGTGCATGTGTGCACAGAAGAGAGAGCTGTTAAAGTCTGCACTCAGGACTCCATGCATGCTACACAAGTGTTCGACCCTACTGCTGAGTTACGTATCTCCAGCATTCCCATCTTTTTTCCTTTTAATTGTTATTTTTAGGTAGGGTTTCCTTAGTTAACCTGTTGACCTTGAATTTACCACCTTCCTGTCTCAGCCTTCCAGGTACCTGAGATCATAGACCTGTATGCCATCTGGCCTCTAGCACTTACCCCAAATTAACAGTACAGACGAGAAAAGTAAAATCCTCCCAACAACCCTGATTGCTCTTTGGGCTGACGAGGGAGGGGAGGGGGACTTGACTGGGGGAGAGGGAGGGAAAGGGGAGGTGGCAGTGGGGAAGAGACAGAATTCTTTAATAAATAAATAAATAAAAAATCCTCCCAACAAGGAGAAAATCCCCTCATTAATAACTGGTCATATTTTATAGTTACAGGCTAATATCTCCTTCTAGAAATATCTTGCTGCTAGGTGGACCTGGTCTATAGAATGAGTTCCAGGACCTACACAGGGAAACCCTATCTCAAAAAAAAAGAAAAAAGAAAAAAAAAAAACAAAAAACACTCGGTGTTTTACAGAGGACTTGGGTTCGGTTCCCAGCGTCCACATGGTTGGCTCAAAACCATCTAAGATTCCAGTTTCAGGAGAGATGATACCTACCTTCCTGCTGACCTAAGCAGTCACCAGATACACATGCAGTGACTTACATACATCTAAGCAAAATACTTAGAAATAAATACACATTTTTTTTTTTTCGAGACAGGGTTTCTCTGAGTAGCCCTGGCTGTCTGGGAACTTCCTATGTAGACCAGGCTGGCCTCAAACTCACAGAAATCTGCCTGCCTCTGCCTCCTGAGTGCTGGGATTAAAGCTGTGTACCACCACAGCCCGGGCTAAGAATAAATTCATCTTTAAAGAAACAAAGCCATTAAACTTTTCTGCGACAGTCAAAGTAGCCTTGTTACAGCCTCCCTGTTTTATTTTTCAGCTATTGTAGACACTTTTTTTTCATATGAGTAAGTTCAGCTAGAGGGAAAAACTCACCTGTTGGGTCTCCTGTCTGAACCATGAAACCCTTGATGTTCCTATGAAACACACAGCCGTTGTAGTAATTACTGGCACAAAGAGCCAAGAAATTCTGAAGAGAGAAAAAGAATGACTGAGAAATAGATTTGGCAGAAACATACTTCAGATAAACGTGCAAACCTAGCCCCTGAAGATGCTATCGTGGCACACATAACTATGACTTCTAGGCGTTGGCCACTCAGTCTTCAGCAGGTCCTGGGAAGGCCTGCACACTCCGTATCTTAAGGAATGGACTCTTGCAGTTACTTGATTCACTACTCTTGCCTTTCCCGGCTGAAGTTCCAGTGCCTGAGGGCAGGGTATGTCTCTTGCTCATCATGTACCCTAGACATGGCTGGAAAGTCTTCTGACAAATAGCTGCAGGAGTGAACACTAGCTGACTCCTCTTCCTTTTATCCTTTGCCATCTCAACAGGCTGAGTGTTTACACAACAATTCTCTTATATTATATCTTAATTATAGTTCCTGAAAAAATGAGGCAAAAGAAAAAAATACTGGACACTTTATGGTTACAGGGAGAGTACCTACCAATTTATATATTTATTTAGTGTGGTATGCATGTAGTATGTGCATTCGTGTGTGTGTGTGTGTGTGTGTGTGTGTGTGTGTGTGTGTAGGTAAGCAAGTCCCTGTGCATATGCAGAAGCAAGAGAAGGAAGAGTATCCTAACCTATCACCCTCAGGCTTCTCCCTGTGAGACAGGGTCTCCCACCAAACCTGGAGCTGGCTGGTGTACAAGACCCTATAATCCTCTTCCTGCCAGCACTGGGTTACAGGTGAGCGTGACCACCCAGCATTTTCTGAGTCCTGGGAATCTGAACTCTGCCCCTCATGTTTATACAGCAAGCTCTCTTCCCTGCTGAGCCAACCCCCAACCCATCCTTCTTTCTCTTGATTTAACTCTGACGTCACAAGTGGAGACTACACCTGCAACCACGGCACCCCCTCCTGATAGCGGGCCCACAGAGAGCTTTCTAACTTTCCAGGCTGAATAGGTCAACTTCAAAGTGGCTGTCCTGTTATATCAGAGTGTTTCTGTTTAAGTACGGGTCTCACTCTATTGCTCTGCCTGGCCTGGAGCTCGCCACACAGACCAGGCTGGCCTCTGCGTCCTGAGTGCCGGCCTTAAAGGTGCGCGTCACCACATTACGACACTCACCTCACACGTCTTGGGTGTCCTCTCACAGAAGACTTCTATTTTGATATCTCCCACATCTGTTTGCAACGTCACAGACTGAAAAAAAGGAGACTGTGAGAACAGGTGACATTTATTCCAGTAACTACAGGTTCTGTCTTATTTCTGACTGGATATTTAAGAAGGCAATCTGGTTAAAGACATTAAAGACGGCTTGTTCGCATGAAGTGGCTCCGAGAGAAGTCATACTCATTTCTCCAAATTTATTATTTTTTTATTTTATTTTATTTTATTTTTAATTTTCAAGACAGGGTTTCTCTGTAGCTTTGGAGCCTGTCCTGGAACTAACTCTTGTAAACCAGACTGGCCTTGAACTCACAGAGATCTGCCTGCCTCTGCCTCCCGAGTGCTGGGATTAAAGGCATGCGCCACTACCATCCGG